CCCCAGGCCTTTTTCTCCAAGGCCTCGCGCCTTCCCCAGCCTAGGACGCCAACTTCTCCCCACCCTGGGAGCCCCACATCCTCTCACAGAGGTCGAGGCAATTTCCAGAGAAGTTTTCAGGGCTGAGGCTTTGGCTACCCCTCATCTTGATATTTGAACCCCCAAATATTTTTTGGACTGGCATAAAGAGGGGACTGAGTTCCTGCTGTCCCACCCCATCCACCTCCTCCAGCCCCAAATATGGGTTCTGGCTCCTCCCTCCAGCTTTCACCTCGTGAGAATTCCACGAGTCAGATTTCTATTTTTTAATATTGGGGAGAAGGGCCCTACAGCCCCCCCACTCCCCATGTTCTGCATGGAACACATTCCACACCCCGTCCTGGGTCCTCGGTTCCAACCCTAACCCCAGCCAAGCTATTTATCCCTTCCCTGGTTCCCGAAAAGCACTTATATCTATTATGTATAGATAAATATATTATATATGAGTGTCTGTGTGCGTGTGTGTCTGTGCGCGTGTGTGCGTGCGTACGCGTTTCCTCGTCTGCAAGTGTGCTGTGGAGTTCGAAATCGCTTCTGGGAACTCGAGTCAGACTCTCCGGCTGCCCCTTCCATAACTGTCACTGTTTTTTTTTTGTTGTCCCAGCCCCTCTGGCTGTTGGAGACAAGTCCTTTCTCCATCTGTTTCGCTCTGACCACTTCCAACATGTCTCCTCTCTCACTGGCCCTGATCGTCCTTCTGTCTGTCCCCTCCGGGTGTGTTGGGGACATGAAATTTTACTTTTTGAATAAGTGTGAACGGGTCGTAGATTTTTACAATTTGTATCGTGGAGAATTCTGGATGGACGTGTATGATCAGGAGAAGGGCCTTCCATAGCTCCCCACTCATGTTGTATTTGTGATTTTGTTGTTGTTGGTTTTTGTATTTTGCACCTGACCAGGGTGCTGCTGGGGCAGTCTAGCACTGGGCAGCTCCCCTCCCCCCTTGGTTCTGCACTGTCGCCAATAAAAAAGCTTAAAAAAAATGTATCCATCAGGTCAAAGTGTGTATTTTCCCTGGGCACCTATTACATGGCTTTCAACAAGACAGAATGGATTTGTACTGCCAGGAAGCCGTCACAGGCACTTGCTAGGCACCTAACAAATCAGCCTATAGCTGGATAAAAGGAAAGCTGACACTCGGGAGGACTTCCCCTGTCTCCAGGCTGTGTCGCCTGCTGGAAAAGGGGCAGGTTGTCAGCTGTGAGATGCTGATGTTGAAGGGTCTGGGAGACTTTACGGCGGGGAAAGAATATATTCAGAACACTGGATGTCCATAGCAGGTTTGGGAAGACGAGAAGCAGGGGAAAGTTAGTGTTAGGTGGTGTTTTCTATTCCCCAGACTGAGAGTAGCTAGACATTGTGAGGCTGAGGGGGACCCAGAATGGGAAAGAAAGGATCCAAGACACATGGAGGAGGCAGAGTACATGTCACTTCGTTAACAGAAAGTCTGGGAAGGAGAAATCACTGGAGGGAGGGGGGGTGCACCACCAGTCTGGTGGCGGGGGACTTCTGGTGACCTTGAAAAAGAGAAGACATCTGCTCGAGCCTCAGTGTCCCCATTGTCAGGCCTTGTCATCCATCCAGTATGTCTCAAGGTCACCCTGGTCAGGCCTCCTGGCCATAAGGCTTGAGTGCTGTCTTCTCCACTGGCCTGGTTAACCTCATGAGACCAGGGCTAAGGGTGTGATCACAACTGTGTCCCCATCCATACAGCTCAAATAGAGAGACAGGACTGAGCCAGAGTGAACAAATGAACAAATATATGACTAAGAGCTGCACGCATGATTAAATACATAATCGAGCAAATGACTGGATGAATAATAAATAAATCGTTGAAGGAGAGACATCAGAGACAGACAGGAATACGCTAGAACTGTAGAAGACAAATTTAAATACACTTCTGAGATGTGTTGGATCCTTCCGGGACCGGAAAAAAGTAATGACGAAGAGGAATAAATACGAATAGAGGGGGATTTAGAGGAGTTTGTCACATAGTACCGGTTGCAGGAAGCAAAATGGGATAGATACTCCCGCCCGAAAGGTGGAATTGAACCACTCTGTCGCTAAACAGCTACAGGTTTGAAGCCTGCACCCCAGACCACTGGAGATCATCCGGGCAGAAGTATCTATTTTCGGACACATATATAAAGGTCAAAAAACAGAAATTTTTACACTTGTGGTGACTACTTTTTTTAATAACACACGACCAATTCTAGTATTTTCAACATTCTTCTCACATGTTTTAGCGAAAACATGCTTTTCTTTACAAATATGCCGCGAATTATCCCACTAGATTACAATTAGTAGCCTCATTTGCATAGCGCGTTGCATGCTGGGAAGCGGCGCCTACCGTGCCTACCTCCCCGGCTGCACAGAAAC